TAGACCACTCTGTGACCAAGAATTGAGACTGTTTAGCAAGACCTCATTAACTTCACAGCTTGGATTGTGTTAGACCAAACTAATCAGCAGGTCTTGTCCCTTGAATTTCAAACGGAAACTAACTAACTAACTCACACTTCCCACTCTCATGGGATGGCAAATGGCAAATGGGACAGAATTCATAATGAATAGAGCTACTTATCCTCCTTTATGCTTCTGGATTCTTTCGGTTCTTACCAACGTGAAACCTTCAAAATCAAGTTCCATACTATGTATAGGCTGCGTCAGCCAAGTTTCTGTGATTGATTATATCTGACTTGTTGTAGTTCTTTTGCTGCTTCTTATCTTTTTACACGATCTGCGAGTGGCAAATCGTTACGGACAAAAGCTCCTGAACTCTTTAGTTTATGTCTGTTCTGTAAAACTAAGTCCCGTTTATTAGATATTTAAATACTACTTTAAGCAACATGGTTTCATTTGGTTTTAAATTCGCTTGACATACCAACAAATTACACTGAATCGTCATTAGGCTCTATTCGAGAGGACAAATAAGACATTCAAAAACGCGTGAAAGATTTATTTAGTTTGCTTTATTTTCCCTTTTGATTTGAGTTATCAGCAGCTATCATTAAAAGTAAGTTTGTAACTTCAGCTGTTGTTCACTTTACCAACAATGGCAGCGAACAATATTGTCTATAGAAGAATAGTTTTCACATTATTCAATGCGTTTACATTACTGATATTCATTATCTAGTTTACGGTGATTAAGATATATTGTGGGATTGATATAAATATACAGATAATGGAAAAAGTTTGTTCAGAAATCTAAAACCATAATCACTAACAGATGAAATAAATCATCCAGCCTTGAAAACTGACGGGATAGTTAACACTTAAGTACACAGAAGTATATCGAGTCGAACATACGGAAGGTATAATTTAGCGTGACAATGGAGTATTGACAGTTATAATCATGAATCTGGTATCCTGTCAATGATCGTGTAGCGGTAAATAAAGCCATAGAATAAATAGCTTTGTAAGTCACCGAGACTGGTGCTGACTATACCAGTTTAACTAAAAATTCGTAACTGAAGGCACTCAAGCATTCGCATCAAATTACGTTCGGGTATACCATGTTGTCCGTCTCTTGCAACAGGTGATCAGCTTATGTCACGTGCATTTCGAAGCATGAAGTATTTTCCAAATATATTTTCACATTCTTGCATTTATGACTTCCAGCTAAACTGGTTTTAAGATACTCATATGAATAGACGTTTTGGACAACAGCGTTGTCAAGTATTGTAAATCTATGACATCTCTTGACTTACGTCCTTTAGTTTTAGGTATTGCATTGTTTCAAGTGTTTAATTGTAAAATCTGAATATTGTGGGTTTTTTGCATAAGGACTTTAATAAGAAATGCTACAATGAATAGTTATTGATAGGTTATCTCAAGATAACGTGTTTTACAGTCGAATTCACATCCTCAAAGGAACCATACTAGCTGAAGAGCAGACGTTGAACTATCTCTCTGACTTACGGCTAGTGTGTCGGGAACAAAGTAATTTAAACACGTCAGAAGACAAAACTGTCACCATCGGAATACTAGTGTCGTATGTATGCTGACACGAAGTACTTGTACCGTCTTATAAATTCGGAAATGGCCTGTGCATCGCTATTTTTGGATTTCGCTGAAATGGTCGATGTATCATTGCAAACCGTTCTACTACCAAAGATATCGCACACAACGTTCTTAGATTCAATCCTTTCGTCGAAAAGAAATGTAGTAAGCGTCGAGTCGCGACTGACGATGATCATCACTACAGGAACAATACGTGTTAGGTATTAGGTTGGATCCCTCCGTAGGTCAATAACTAGAAGGCAGTTGACGGTTACAACAAGATATATTTGTTAGCGATCTCATGGTATCGAAAGGATACCGGGATAGTGCCAAAGATTACTAGCGGAACTACTGAGCGTACGAGAGTTCATGCAAGGTCACAGGCAACGGAAGAGCGTGTGTGTTTTGTACACTTAAACAAACAGGTACAGTAAAATAATCACTGGTACATTTGATTATAGTAATAGTTGTTTCGATTATACTAATCACGTTTTCGTCGTAGAAGTGGGTCACTATAGAACTATCTTCTGAGTCATGCTTTCAGCAGCTTGCAATAAAAGTGCAGAGCACAAATGTCAAGAGTACTATGAAGACCCACCCTGGCCTTCTTAATGTTCCTCATATTTATCAATGATGAAGATGCCACAGGTAGTGTAGCTTGACAACACTTCGCCGGCAACATATTCTATGATTGAATCGTACCCACCCAGTGAAATCAAAATTCAAAAGCGAGGGGGCTGGAAGATATATTTGACAGACTATCAATATATCGGCAAGTGACTGGTCTAAACTGGCTAGTGATCGCAGTAGAAGTTGAGCACGGCGTTCCCACTCGTGATCTGGTGCAGATGCATGACCGAGCGCCTTCAGCTAGGTGAGTCTATTAAAACTAATGTGATCAGTATCCAATGTCGAACACTTACAGAGCTATTGATTTAGGGGATTCATTTACAGCTACAATGGACTCGCAAAAATTTAGGCATATTATTCTTATCTACGTAAAGAAAATTAAGCCTTGGAGAACTATCAGATAATAGGGTGATTCACAGAGAGAAAATTAGAGCTACTGAAGGACTGGATGCAAAACGATAGTTTAATTCTTAACCTTTAGAAATATTGAATGATGTTCATGGCACTCCAGATAACTACCGATCAGCCTTATCCTTCTGGAATATTATTCGTCTAGAACTTTAGTGAACTCCCAAGCTACGTTCGAGTTCGTAACTTAACCGTTTATCCTATGGTCAACACGTAAGCTATCACATTGTCCTCCATGGTTAAATAAGGAAACCCGGAAGTTGTTGAAGTGTAGGAAACACTTCTGGGACTTATTCTTGTCAACAGGACAGACATCACTTAAATGTGAATATAAAAAATTCGAAATATATGTAAAAAAACCATAGCTAAATCCCGTACCACTTACGAACGACAGTTGGCATACGATAGCCGTACCTCTTCGAAGCGACTGTTTTCGTACATTAAAAGGTGAACAAAACGTAGTGATGCTACTCCCTCGTTACTGTTAAACGAAAATTCAGATTTACCAGCTGAATCTGACCTATCAAAAGCTGAGACATTTGCGATCTATTTTAGTAAAGTCTGCTCTACGTGTAGTGTTACATTTACTCGTTCCATTTACAATGAGATACCAGCCTAAGGATCTTTACACGTGACTGAGAAAATTGTTCTTCCATTGATAACTAACCCCAGACCTTGTAAGATACCTGGCCACGATGGGTTACGTTCACGTTTGCTGTCATCGCTTGCGGACATCATTTCAAGACCGCTCGCGACGCTCTTTAGCATGTCCAGCTCACTAGCTTAACTACCTAGAGACTGGAAAGACGCTATAGTTAGTCCTATATTTAAGGATGGTCAGAGACGGATCGTATCTAGCTACCGGCTCGCCAGCCTGATTAGCATAGTCGTTAAGTTACTTGAAAAGATAATTCGGGTTAAGTTACGGAGTCACATAGATTCGTATAAACTGTTATTTCCCGAGCGTTCGTGCTTAACTAACTTACTTATTGCGAGGGAGGATTGGACAACAGCCCTAGATAACGGACTGTTTGTCGATGTGATATTCATAGATTTTAGCAAAGCGTTTGACAACGTTCAAAACTTAGGTCTTATGCAGAAGCTCTTGAGCTTTGAAGTAACAGGTGCTATACAGGAATGGATAGAAAATTTCTTATGTGACCTCACACAGAAAGTGAGGGTAAACGGAACGCCATCCGAACAGAAGCCGGTCAAAAGTGGTGTACCCGGAGGCGCCATCTTAGCCCCTTTACTTTTCCTCCTGTATGTTAATGAATTACCTCTATTGCTTAAGTCGTCAACATTATTGTTTGCGGATGATGTAAAAACCTGGAGAACAATAAGAAGTGGGTCTGATCGTTGCGAATTAGTTAGGTGGGCTCATGATTGGGGCTTGTAAGTTAATGCAAGGAAGAGAGTGCTCATGCACGTTGGGCACGGTAATAGTTACCATTATACCATTGATCGTACATCTCTTCCACGCGTTCAAGAACATAAAGACTTAGGAGTAACCATAAATCACGACTTGAAGACTACTACACACTGCAACGTGGCTGCTTCCAAAGGTTATCGTGTGTTATGGTCACTTCGCCGAGCATTTAAATGCTTTGACGAGGAGATGTTTCGAGTTTTATATCCCACTTATGTACGGCCACACTTAGAATACTGTATCCAAGCAGCTAGCCTATGTCTGATAAAGGATACTAACTCACTTGAGCGTGTCCAGCGTGTGGAGATGAAATTAGTGAAGGGTCTTTATAAACTCTATTACAATGAGCGTTTGAAACGTCTAAACCTTTTTTCCTTATCTTATCATTGAACGCAGAGTGACCTTATACTGGCATTTCGCATCCTTAATTATGATTCGGGTGTTAATATGTCTTATCTTTTTGTTCTTTCCAGCACTGATAATCTCCGAGATCATAGCAAGAAGGTTCACAAACCGCAATCTAATAAACTAAAGGTGGGGTCCAGTTTTTTTTCATTGAGTGGTCAATGACTGGAACACCTTATCCGAACAAGCGGTATCACCCCTATCAGTGAACATTTTCAGAGGGAGTCTGGACCTTCATTGGAAGGAAATCTGTCAGGATTAACACAGGTTCATCAATCTACTATCCTTATTACTGAAGACTGAAGAGTGGACAAGAACTATTGTTGAAAAGAAACCCGGGGACTAGCCACAATTATGCAGAAATGGATTTATAAATTACACCATCGTTATCTTCTTACGAAGACGAGCGATTGTACTATCGTATTCATCACGATAAGTTCAGTCGAGTGTGTACACTAAACCGACTAGATGCTAGCAATGAATTGGAACAGTGCGTTGACCCTTAAAATGAAGCCCAAAATTTCAATTACTTATGCTTACTAATCCCAGGAATAATAAATATTGAGGACGGTGAGAATGAAGCTTGATTGTTTAGTATAAATATAAACCAAGGACACTTCTATTACAAAATTTTGCCGCGTAAATTACCGTACAGATGTCAGCAGTTTACCGGGCATTGATTGGAGCAGTTGATAAAAAGGTTCCTGCTCGACTCAAACCTTTGTGGAATCATCCTGCGGGACCTAAAACCATATTTTTCTGGGCGCCTACTTTTAAATGGGTTTGTTAATGGCAATCCACAAATTACTAGTTAATTAAAGCTTCTTGTAATAGCTGGATTAGCAGATATTAACCGACCAGTGGAGAACGTCAGTTTATACCAAAGTACAGCACTCGCTGCAACTGGTCTCATATGGTCTCGATATTCTTTGGTTATTATCCCTAAAAATTACAACCTTCTCAGTGTGAACGCCTTTGTTGCTCTAACTGGTTTATATCAACTAGCGAGAATCGCTCGGTAAGTTGTTGCAGTTCTTTAAAACTTTTCAGTTATGAAAGCTCCAAATAGAAAACAGTAAGCTCTATAATCAGGGAACCCTCATTTCTCTTGTATCAATTGGATTTAGAACATATCTGCATATGCAAACATTTATTCGGCGTATTTATTGGTTTATCATGTAAAAACAAAGTCCATGTAGTAGTTTATATCATATTACCTGTGGCTTTGTCACAGTTATTTCCGAAATGTACTGATTTTAAATTTTTTGTTTTACCTTACTAGTTGTGTTCAACTTTTGTCCCCTGGATATTTTTCTTCTAGTTACTTGAGCATTTTTAGCAATAATACTCTTTAACAAAAAGCACTTCAGTAGTTGTGGTTTACACCAATTTTTCCCGGGAGGAATTTTAATACTACGAACGGTAATTACAGAAACTATTTTCTGGATTTCATCAACCTGTATATAAACCTGAAAAGTATTCAGTCATGTAAATTAGCCGACCTCTCACATTTAAGAATCATATAAGCTTTAGAAAACGTCGCATTGTTTGTGCATTTTTTCTTCGCTAGTTGTGTCTTGGAACAATTGATTGAATAGAGGGTATCGTTAATTAGTATTAGCTGCCGGCTCGTCATTATTCTTAACAGTGGAGTGTTTCTCCATGCGCCACTTTTTTCATGACATTTGTTAATGAGCAAAGATATACCTTCTGGTAACTCAATCTAATATGGATAGTCGCCTCAGCTAGTTCTGGGCTTGTAGATTTGAATTGTATACTCTCATATGGGCTCCTGTAAGATATAAACGGTCTGTCTGACCCTAAGTCAATGTCAAGTATTACAAAGTTTTTAGCCAAGTAACTTTTGTTCGTTTTGTTTTAGGGGTAACTATTTTGTTCACATTAATTTAGCGTCATGCAAAAACTTAAAGTCCTTGAGATAAATTGGGTTTCTGTATGGATCCTCTCTCCTTATGTGTATTTAGAAAAGGACTAGTTGCTGACACAGTTTACCCTAGTGTTGAATAGTCGTTTAGTATAGTGGATATCTTGACAACTGAAGGATCTACATTTTTCCCAATAGGTTCTTAAACATTTTTCAGTTACTGCACGATTGTATGGTGGTTTTCAAGTTCTGGATACTATTGGTCTCCATGTGACTCTATGTCTTCACGGTGGGTGACGCAACGCTATTCGGCTTGATGACCATAAGTACATTATGGTCTTATACCACTTGATGCCTTCCACTACTATATTTCCTAACGAATATACCATGACTTCACAATGGAAACTGGGATTGGCTAAGACAAGAAGCAGTTCTTGTCTCCTCCAAGTGGCAACTAATTGTTCTACACATTATAACTCTATGAAATAGAATCTCAGCCAGGTCTAACGAGATTTCCAAGGGAAGGGGCCAACAGTCCTCTTGTTTAAGAAGTGGAATTAAATAAGAATTCTATTAATTTCTTGAAATCTCACTGTTATCCATAGACAGAGTTAACAATGTTTCTGTTATTGCGGTTGTATTCAGCCTGTGAGCGCCAATTAAAATATTTTCTCCGGTAGTTTATTAAGCAAATTTCGAGAGTTGGTGTGAAAAACCTAGAATTCATCCTAAATACCTTGTGCTGCACCTAGAGTATTTTCGGAGCCTGGCACGTCGGAAACTCGTTAATTTATGATGCCTTTCATCTGCAACTAAATGTATTTTTAGCTTTATCGTTCTTTATACGACAAGTGATAGATCCTTAGTCATAAAATCTTGGTCCATAGTGCTTATTTGCTTTCTATTTTACCCACCAACTTTCACATTGCCTCGACCGCCCATACATTACGATCGTTATTGCATACTTTCTGTATGTTCTAGACTAGATGAAATTTGGAGACAACAGTTTATAAGAAGACCTCTTATTTTATTTTCTTAATGCTGAAAAGAAGTTTCAAGCTGTAAATTTCAACTGACCCTGTGAAAAGCACTTGACCTTACTAAATGGTCAGTTCTCGATCAGAGCTAAACCGTGTCTTTTGTGAATGGGAACTTTATATTCTTGACACCTTTTTACTCAGTCTTTTCAGGAGTAAAAACCAATTTCCCCTTTCAAATTATTTATTGGGTTTACCAGAATTTATGTCTAACCTGACTCTGCTCCTACGATACGTTGGAGTCTGTTCTGCCATGAACTGGCCGTCTGCGATAAAGTGACCACTTACTGCATTGAATCCAGTATCCTGATGATAATGTGAATGCTTTTTTTTTCGGAAATCTTTTCAAGAGGCGATCTTTCTTAGTATTCTGATCTTGCTCTGGTCTCTTTAGGAGATGCATTGATTGATATTTTATAGATCTCTTTGCCAACGGACAATTTAGTTGTATTCTGAGGTCCGGAATATTTTTATTTGTTACATGTTCCTTAAGTACATTTAGAAGTAGAATGTCTGTTAAGTGGGAGACCCAACATTTCTGAACACCACTCGTGAAATTCATTTAAATGTTGTGATATCAACCAATGCACTTATTACGCTGTAACATTGGTTCGTGGAAAGCAATAGCTCAAGTATTTATGAGCTTACGTTTCATTACGTAAGAATCTACGTTTATCGTCAAACTTGAGGTTAGCAGGAGTAGGCCGACGTATCTCAACGAGTTGTAAGGAGCCTGTATAAACCCCATGCTTATAAGTGGGAAGTTTTGTGAAGCCGCAGGTTACTTTACTCGTCATTTTCATGGTGTCATGCAAATGTAGCCAGTGCTCATCTATACTTTTCGGTGGATTGATGGCTAGGCCTGAACCTAACTCGGTTTGATATTTAGTTGCAACAGAAGCTGCAACCAATTTGCTAACATCGATCAGTTTAGGACGATGAATTTGTTGGCCACTGAAACGTAAGGTGAAGTCGGCGGAAACAAAGGTATGGTCAAATTTCAGATAAGTACTCCAGAAGTAGCAGCAGTCTTGTACACGACTAAGTTAGCAATAGCTGGTTGCGACGTGATCAAAGTGAGTTCAGGTTTAAGATACAAACGGAGGACACCAAGTCGCACATCGGCGATGACTGTGCCGAAAGTTGGTGTTAGCTAGCATCATTTATTTAAATACATAAACACTGGTACAAGGAGGCACCAAACAGTGACCTGAAGACATTTAGGTAGGACAGGATTCGCAGCATAGTCGACCTACTGTATGAGTTGAAAAATAAAGATATACAAAATGGGAATAAAAGGGAACTAAAAAGTGATATAATCTATCGGTTATGGGCTTCGGCTCGAGACTGGTAGGTCCTAGGTTCGAATCTCGCGAGAGTGGGTTCGTGGATGCGCACTGCCGAGGAGTCCCATAATAGGACGAAACGGCCGTCCAGGTTTTCCATGGTGGTCTAGCTTCAATTGACTCACGCTTTCAACTATAATAAATACTAAATCTCCACAAAACCCCTTTTATAATTAATATAAACTAACGTCATCAAATAATTATAAATACAATTTCTGAGAATGAAAATGGAAGCAAGGGTAATTCTTTCGACCTTAATTTGTTTGTGGGTTAGGGTACTGCCCGGGTCCCCAAAATGGAACAGGACTTAAAATGTTCATACAGTTTGCGTTTATATCGTGCGGCACATGAGAAACATAAAGTTATTGTTTTGTAATTATAACCCATTAGTACATAAATTGAGAGAAGTACATCCTTCCCCAAAATAAACTGGTTGCTAACAATATGGTAGTTGTACGACGTAGAGTACTGTTTGGAACCAGTCAGCTAGAAAGTCTTATCCTTAAAGCATAAAGGAAGTATCCCTAGGACTTGAAATAGTTGTCGGAAAACAAGTACTAAGACTGTCTACCATTCTCCTACAGTATAGAATCAGTAGACACAAATGTCCTTGGAAGTGAGATGAAATTTCATATCTGACAAATTATACTGCCAAACTATCTGGTGTTACGTACTTGGTGCGTTAAACTACTGCAGATCCTGACATGAGAAGCCAGTTGAAAATGAGAACAAGAATTTAATACTAGTTTAGGTTGTGTTTGAGTACGAGTTTGAACAGGATAAGAAAATATAAACTAACCAAATTACCACTCTCTAAAACCACGACATGAATTGATTCAGACTATTGGTGTACCCGGACAATGTATGTTGTAGCTGGTCAGTCAGTGAAAACAGACACAAACGGATGTATCACTTATAATGGACTCTTAATATTGTGAATAACTTCATTCCATTGTTTTGTGTTAATGCATCTTGCTATTGATACCTAGTTGTCGAGTAAACTGTCGTACAAGTAAGTGTGGTCATGCGGTTTTGTCAAGTTCAAAGACAAAACATTTTACTCGTAGCTCCTTAACATTAACAGTTTAATCCTTGTACCTACTTTTTGAAGCAAATAATCCACTGAGTTGTTACCACATGAAAAGACTAACACCAGCATACATCACTGTCTATTTCTTATTTTAATCGCTGAAAAATTCCCATCATATTAAAACAATTATATGAACGAAGAATATTCTTTTCAATAATTTCTCATCAGATTCTACAATTATAAATCCAAATTAATAATCCACAAAAAATGGGCCAAGTTTAAGACAGAGTATATCATTTAAGAAACTTTAATATGTGGATCAAGGAGTGTTTGTAATATAAAGTTAAATCGCATAGTTAATGTTTGGGTGACTAGTATGAAGTGTCAACTTGAATCAGTTTATAAGTGAAATGAAATGTTGACATAAATGATCATAATAAATATAGTTGACATGGGGTGAAAGAGAATAATAGAATTACAAATCAGAAATTACTTAATATGTAGAATAACATGAATTAGATCAGATATAGTAGATAGGGGTGGATGCTGGATAAATTTCTCTAAAAGGTTAGCAAGTGTAATAATAATAATGACAATAGTAAAACGTGTAGATAAAATAAGCTTAGGATATAAAAATGAACCTTAATCAAATTACGTCACCATACTATAAAATTGATTAATAACAAGTTGGCCAGGGTAAAAGGAGCGGCTGGACATATTTCTTTTGGATGCAAACCTCTGGCTTTTTTATCCGGATAGCAATCGCCTTAGTCGTCTGCAGAATTCTTAATCTGACGGAATTAAATAGACTGTTGTTGACACGATATATTGTTGCGAAAGATTGCTCCATGTTGGCTGTATGTTCCGTCTGAACTAAATGGGCTAAAATGGAACTATTAACCGTTTTGACTACACCTTTGCTTAGCCACACTGGGAGGTGCTCAAGAGCCCGAATATACAAATTCCTAGAAAATCTTATATAATTTGCCGCACAGGAGCAGTTGAATTGATAGATACAAAAAGAGGTGGCTAGTCTAGGCAATTTATCTTTCAACATCCGAGTGATCATTGGACTTGTGGAAAACATTAGCTGTAGTTTACTTGAATTAAAAGTTCTTTGGATTAGTCTTCGTAACTTGAGTCTTAGCATTTCACAATGTGCATCGCCTATGAATTCTAGGCGTATATACAGAGGCTTTTTATTCACGGTTAGGCATTCTTTATACTTTGTTTGATTGGCTACGTTTTTATGTATAAATCTCTCCGAGTATCCGTTTTCTCTCAGGGTCGTGTATAATGCCTTTGTTTCATCTTCGAGAGCATATGGTCTTGACTCTATGGTGTAATGCCTTAATCAGGTTCCTTTTGTATTGTAGAGGAACAAAACTGAGAAAGTCTGTATATTGATCCGCCACATTGTTTATGTTTCTCCTTAATGAACCGTCTTTTCTTCTTGTAAGTAGAACATCTAGAAAGGCTATCCTACCTCCATTTTCCTCTTCACATGTAAATTTTATGGAACGGTGTACTGTATTGAATAACTCAAGTGCTTCTATTAAGTGAGTATATTCGTTACAAAGGATGAACGTGTCGTCCATATATCGGCAGTAAAATGAAAACTTTTCAATCTGTTGTGCCAGTGGGCGGTTTTCTAGTTTCAAGAGAAAAATATCAGCCAATATGAGACTTAGGGGTGAACCCATGGGACTGCATGTCCTCACGATGCTGCACTGCCTCGTAAACTAGACCTTAGGTCAAAAGCTCCAGGTGTGGCTGCTTAAGAAAACCATCTGCTTCAGTCTGGGCAGTATCACAGCCCTCACACAAATCGAATGAGATTTGTGAGGCGCATATTTATCTGGTGCTTCCTTGTACCAATATTTGTGTTTAAATAAAATAAAAAAGTCGGTCTCAATAAGATATCCAGCCTATGTACCTTCGGTAGTCCATATAACCTAGGTAATTGAGTACCTGTCGGCTTAATTGATACATATATGTCCGGTGGAATTATCTGCTGATTTCTGAGCTCTTTTAAAGATCTGGCCAACTCATTATCTATCGTATTATTGACACCTTTTTGGTTATTCAGTTTCTGAGATTTTTGATGATCATTTAAGATGTTATTCATCTTGTCAATGTGGTCTTTTTTGTTAAGTAAGATAGTTCCTGTTCCTTTATCAGGTTTTGCGACAATCAGATTCACGTCATTAATAAGTTCACTGATAGCCTCTTTCTTTTTTTAGTCAAAATACTTCTGTAGTTATATCTACTATTCTTAAACTGATAGCTACTGTCAACAATGTTTGCTTTGAGACGTTCAAGTTCCTGACCAGAAGTCGGCACTAGATCGGATGTCTGACGATTTAGGTTTTTAAATTGGATGTCCGTATCCATATAATTTACGCGGTTTTGTATCACAGAAGTTTAGACCTAGTGCTAATACTTCAAGCTTTTCTTTATTTAATTCATTACTGGAAAAATTATGCACATACCTTTTTGGTTCAGTCGGAAATTTATTTTCAACTGGTTGGTTCTCTAGGCTTTTGGATTTATAATTGTAGAACCTGATGAGAAATTATTGAAGAGAATATTCTTCGTTCGTATAATTGTATTCATTATTCGCAAGGAAATGTTTGCAAATAGACCTACCTCACTAGGCTTCGTGGCGAAGTGACCTAAGTAATCGAAGGATAGTGTATCCAATAAAAGTTCTAGACAGTCTAAAATACCCCGTGCCTAATTAAATGGAAAGAACGAGATCTACCTAGTAATCTTTACTTGACACTTCACACTTAAACATACACTTGAACGAGGTTCTCATGCCATATTAGGTCTAATGGTTTTGTCGAAAGTCCACCGAGAAAGTGCACGACGTATCAAGTTTATTTCAAATTAGGGACATAAGATGCAATAATGCGCCAAATTGTTGTTAGTTGTCACCAATTCTACAAATACATCAGCATTTAAAATGAAGTATCATTTAGGAAAAAATTTATTAATAGTACTGTCAAAACAAGATATTATGTTAAATATGTATTCATAAAATGAAAATGATGATCTGAAGAAGTAACTTTAATTGCTTGCCGTAGTTATATAATAATATTCACATATTTCGGTATTTTCACTTTTATGATGTTTAGATCTTGAATACTGATGTCCCAAAATAAACAGACAGTGTAACAGATTTATTAGCAAAGAGATAAAGTTAGAACAAATGTCAAACAAGAAAGTTGTGTTAGTTTTTCACAAACAACATTATTTCACAGAAAACAAAACAAACATTCAGCATGTAGCACAAACGTTACATACTTAACACTGTGCAAATAAATATATTTGTATACATAAGTTATATATGGACAGATTAGGATGATAAAATCGGTCAGTTGCTCCCACCCCAAAGTTTGATATTGTTATTTACTTTTCTTAGAGTCGTTTGACACTTCAGCCTCCTGACTTTCCTTCTCAGTTTCCGGTTCATCTTCATAGCTAGAGAAAATATGAATAAACTAGTCTATATTTTGAAAAAGAAAACAATATAATGCAATTACAGTTGACGACCATACATCTTATGAATTATGGCCTCATAAATACATATTTCGATCAGTGTTTGAAAAAGTCGGGTGATTTGGCTCGGAATACGTCACAATAACCCAGGGTGCATTTACTTTCCATCTTCTCCTAGATCTCGATTTTCAATATCCTTTCTGTCTCGAATATTATTAATGCTTAATCCTTCTCGTTATCTTTACTACCAAATTATTATATATTATATTGTGTTGATTTCATCTCACTTTACTAACGTGATATGGCATCTTAGACTAATGCACATCTGTTCCAGGGTCCACATTGTTAATAATTGACTATTTATTTATTTAAACACATATATATTGGTACAAAAGGGCACCAGGTACATATGCGCCACACAAAATAATGAAAGTAGGAAGAGAAGGGATGAAAAGATAAGGCGGACTGAAATGTACAACCAGAAGACTCTTTCAGTTAAGAAAGTTAGAACCATTCTTTATGTAGAAAGTAAAAGAAGGTTGCAGCAGGATCGCCACTGGCTTCTATTCTGAGCCATATCTGATAACGTCTCTAGCCACTGTGTTGCACCATCTCTCGGACCCCAGCCAGGGAGTCGTGAAGGACCAACAAAAGCTAGCCCTTTGCAGCTCTCTTTCATGCCACGACACCATGTCATACACTGACCTCCTCTCCGCTTTCTCCAACCAGTCCCAGGGTCGGCAAATAATGCACGACGTGGAAGTCTCTGGGACGACATTCGTAAAACATGTCCAAGCCACCGAAGTCGGTGTTTTAAGATGGTGACACCAATTGAATTATCGTCTCTGCGCCCGAACACACGATGCCGAACCTCTGCATCACTAACATGGTGTTGCCACTGGATGTCAGCAATCCTTCGGAGACAACGATGATCAAACACAGAGAGACGTCTAACATCCTCAACTCGGAGAGGCCAGGTTTCACAAGCATAGAGCAAAACTGCTCTCACCGACGCGTTGTAGATCCGACCTTTTACAGCCAGACTAACATCACGAAGGCGCCAAAGATGGCCCAGATTGGCATAAGCCGCTCTGGCTTTCATTATACGTGCATCAATCTCATCACTCACGCCACCACCAGCACTTATATAGCTACCTAGATACACGAACTTCTCAACTACTTCGATCTCCTCACCATCCAGGGTGAGTACAGGATGAGAATCCTGCCAGTCTTGTAGGAGTACTTTGCACTTGGAGGGTGCAAAGCGCATGCCGTACCTGCGGACACTGATTGCCAACTGATTAAGTGCTGATTGCATGCCTTGGGCATTATCGCACAGTAAGACAATATCATCCGCATACTCAAGGTCGAGAAGTCGTTCTCCAGGCAACATATCCACACCGCCATTACTTACATCCATCAGAGCTGTTTCCAGGATGTCGTCGATGGCAAAGTTGAAGAGGAATGGTGAGATCGGGCAACCCTGCCTAACCCCACTGCTCGAATGGAACAAGGGAGAAAGGTGGTTGTATGTCCTCACTCTGCCTGAGGTGTTCGTATACAGGGCCTTTAAGATGTTAATGAACTTCTCAGGCACACCCTTCTTCAATAGACAACCCCAGAGAACAGTCCTGTCCAACGAATCGAAGGCCGCCCTGATATCAAGAAAAACTACGATTGTTGGCCTGCGATAAGTATGACGGTCAGCCCCCAAATGCCTTGGTACGGCCGAGAGTGGGGAGAGTCTACTCCCCCTCTCGAAATGCTCTCACATGGCCAGCGAATATATAGCCTCTGCCACAAAAGTCCTACTCACTGCCTTCTCGTGGCGGGGGTGTTGTTTACGAAAGTGAGAGGACGAAAAGCGAATGTCCGGCGCTACAACCGGATTGGTGGACACGGAGGGTCTACCTAGGGGAGTTGGAAAACCCTGATTCCAAACCAATGGTGCACATGGGCTCCAGTATCCTGATGGAACGAATGGCGGAAGAACCTGTCATTGGTCAACGGCAACCATGGGACTGCATCTCCTCACGATGCTCCACTGCCTTGTGGATCAGACCTTTAAGTCAAAGGCTCGGGGTGTGGTCCCCTAAGAAAACCACCTGCTTCGGTTTGGGCACCCGGGCAGTATCACAGCCCACACACAAATGAATGAAATTATGAACTCTATTGACGATAATATCCCTGGTCATACTAAAAGCAAGACAATTAACATTATTATTATTATTACCTTTATTATTATTATTATTATTATTATTATTATTATTATTATTATTATTATTATTATTATTATTATTATTATTATTATTTACCATATCGCTAACTCACCCCCTTTTATCACCAATTTGTGTAACCTTACTTTTCAACTTATGCAGCAGCTCGCCCATGGTGGAAAATCTGTCCTATCTAAACGATCTCCAGTCACTGTCTGGTTGAAAGTGAATGCTTCCACCGATAATGAATACTGAGGCAGTCTTTCTGAAACCACGTACGCCGTTCAAGCTGGCTTCCTTCAACGTTCACACACTAATGCATATCAGACAACAGATAGGGCTGGCTATGTCTTTGGAAGGTCTTAATGTTGATGTTTGTTGTCTATCCGAGACCCGTATTCAAGACTCTAGTGAAGTACTACAAATCCGCTCTCCATCTGTCGCCTCGAAGAGCTTGTTCCACGTGCGCTTATCCGGGGACCCTGTGGCATCTTCGTCTGGTCTTGCTGGCGTTGGTGTCGCACTAAGCGCTAGAGCTGAGGCAGCACTAATCGATTGGATCCCCATTAACAGTCGGTTATGTGCTGTTAGATTAGAAAGTTCCATCAAAATGAGAAGAAATCGGCGTGAGAAACGGTGTCTTTTCGTCATCTCCGCCTATGCCCCGACAGATTGCAACCCGGATGCAGTCAAGGATGAGTTTTACCATCAGTTAACAGTTCTTCTCCAGAAAGCGCGTTCGACAGATATTGTAGTACTAGCCGGAGACTTGAATGCGCAGGTCGGGCGTCTAGGCACAGAAGAGAGTCGTCTAGGTGGCCGATGGGGACTTGTTGGTCGCCGGACAGATAACGGGGACCGTTTGCTGCAACTGTGCACAGACCACAACCTGTTTCTGGCCAGCACTAACTTCCGGCACAGTCATCGCCGGTGTGCCACCTGGCGTCCTCCCTCTGCATCCCAAGCCTGGACTCAGATTGATCACATCGCGATCAGCTACCGCTGGCGTGGTTGTGTACAAGACTGCCGCTCCTTTTGGAGTACCTTTCTGGAGTCTGATCATGCCCTGGTCTGTGCCAATCTCACCTTACTTTTCAGTGGCCGAAGGATTGCCACCACCAACGGATTGATGTTAGTAAATTGGCCGCAACTTCTGTTGCAAGTAAGTATCGAGCGGAGCTAGCCTCTAGGCTAGCTACCACCCCACCGAAAAGTATAGATGAGCATTGGTTGCATCTTCACGACGCCATGAAAATGGCGAGTAAAGTTGCTTGAGGCTTCGCGAAACGTCCCGCTTACAAGCACTGGGTTTCTTCTGGCTCCTTACAACTGATGGAAGCCCGTCGGTCTACTCCGGGTGACCGTGAGTTTGACCACAAACGAAGGCTGTTACATAATGAAATCGGGCAAAGCTTGCGTAAGGACCGGGAAGCCTGGTGGTCGAAGCGTGCTAATGAGATGGAAGCAGCAGCTGCATCTGGTAACTGCCGGAAGCTCTTCCAACTCATCCGAGCCACTGGCAGCAAGAAGTCTGGTGTGAGTGAAACAATCTACGAGGATGATGGGATGCCAATCACTAACATCTGTCGACGTCTTGGACGATGGGCGGAATTTTTCGAAGGGCAGTTCAACTGGCCTGTTGCTCCGACAACATCAACCAGCTTGTCCTGCCCGCCATGACCGGTGACGACTGATCCACCAAACGAGGCGGAAGTCCGCAAGGAACTCCAACTCTTGAAACGTTATAAATCACCTGGCCCAGATGACTTACCTCCGGCTCTTTTTAAAGATGGTGGTGACTTTCTGGCTAAGGAACTGACTGCGTTGTTTGGAAAGGTTTGGGAGCAAGAAAGTGTTCCAACATCTTGGAATGAGTCAATAGTCGTCCCTATCTTTAAAAAGGGTTCACGTTGTTCCTGTGATAACTACCGGGGGATAAGTCTACTTTCGATTGCGTCCAAACTATTGGCTTCTATCACTCTTCGTAGGTTGTTTAAAACCCGAGAACGATTGACTCGCGAGGAGCAGGCTGGTTTTCGTTCTGGTCGAGGATGCATTGATCACATCTTCACCCTCTTTATTTACCGTCATACTTATCTTAATAATTGACTGGTGTTTTGATGATGATTTAATCCAACTTATGTGGTTAGTCATACTAATTATTAAAAAATAACGGCTTGAGAGAGAATTCCTATTTAGTACATAATTCAGATAGTTTTGACACGAGCATATATAAATACACTTCTGAGGTGTAGCAGTTCTGCATGTTAAATTAAGATGAAGTAAACAACGATTTAAATAAGTCAATGAGAGGATTAAGACAAAATGTAGAAAATATCTTATTATCGAAATTTGGTTGTCAGAAAACAAGCATTTCAACCATTTCACTGTATTGATTTTTGGAAATGTATAATTAGATTTATGGTTTAACAACTGATGACCTTAGCTTAGATTTTTTTAGTACAAATTAAGATCTTGTGCATATAGTGATTGTCACACATACACAAACATCATCATGAGGTTACTTATTAACTTGTATTACATACCTACTTAATTAGCCGATATTAATGACTTAATATTTTACATTTTTAATTGGAATATTGTGCATAAATTGTGTAGATAAATCAATTAAAATTGCTATATGTATAGAGATGACAAAGTTATTATCAGCGATAACAGAACATAATTCCATTGTGAATAAAAGTCAATGCAGTCAAATTCCTGAAACTAAGTTATTAAATATATTATTTATTTTTACTTTACATAGGTATAATGTTCAAAATTAGAAATTAAAGACACTAGAAGATGCACCTCGAAATACGTTGAGTTTGGTGTCAAATGCAATCACATTTTTTAAACAAGTGGTCACATAGTACTGTTAGTGAACGAGAAATTAGGTGAGGAAAACCAATTTATTTTTTGATGCAAAATCACACAGTAGCTTATTAAAATGTGAAAGTCATACATTAAACACGTCATTTGCGCATATTCTTTGCGTTATCATTTACACATTCCATTATCTCTCTAATCCTGTTGTAATCACAATGGCTCAGTTTCTCTACATGTTCTCTTCTCTTCAATCTTCTGCTGACAGGCATTTCACTTCCCACTGCTGCTACATACTACTTATATCTGTCAACATAAGTAGCCTACACCGCTATAGGATTATGTACATTTATCAAACAAAAATAATATTACAATATACGTTAGGTTAGTCTTGTTAAGTCATTTCTAATAAGTAGCTTATTTCTTTTTTTTACAATAATCATATTATAGATAGGGATGCATTGAAAATTTGAAAAAAAGCTGAGAGATTTGTCTACTAGGAGAAAACATCGACTTATCTTTATAAACATCAGAGCAGGAACTCACCTAAACATTGCACTGAGATCGTTTTTCACTAAAGCCATAAGCAATGGTGCACCCAAACAGGCAGGTACCAGGTAAAGTAAAGCCGGCTAAATTAATGAAAAGGCAGTAAACATAGTTATTTATGTAACAGAAGTTTTATTCCAATAGAAAAAATCTGCAAACAGAAAGTGTGGAATAATTTTAAAATAGGTAAACAAAAATAACTAAATATTAAAGCTAATATTTCCCAAAAATAAATCCCCCGCTACGAACAAAACATTATGGAATAGAATAAAAGCAATACATACTACTTATTCTACAGAAAATAGAATTCTGAAATGGATCATAACAATCACTGAATCTTTTTAGTGAATAATGATAATACTATGAATAAGTTTAACAGTAATTTACATTTTTGGTGAAATTATTTAGATTAAATGGATGATACTGAAGTCAATTAGTCAATCACAAACTAGAAGATGGTACATATGTTGATGTTCACAAACCGTAGACTTGCGATTATCATTGAGTCTAACATAGTCTTCATGCTAATGAAGACTTAACGATAATCACAAGTTTACAGTTTGTGAACGTCAAGATAGGTTTTCCCCACTTATTACATCTAGTTTATATGTGTTGCATAAATATGAACTGAATATTCGTCATATAACCTGTCAATTCAACTATGGTTACTTTGCTCGTTTTCTATTATTTATCTTGCATTATATTTACAATCATAAACACGTAATCCTAATCAATATCTGAAAATTATGAAAACACGAAGAGAATAAATTTAGGAAGATATTCTTTGTTCGAATTGATTTTCACACTGAAATATTAGGCTCTTTACCGTCATTGAAATTCCAACCTTCCATCAATGTCACAAAGAGAGAAGGATGGCTTAATACGCTTGGAATCATTCTGCAACACATAAATTGACACCAATAACACCAGTGATATAACAGTGAAGACAAATGTAGCTATGAAAAGATTTTTACGTAAGCAATAGTTGAATTTCTGAGGTATTACGAGACAAGACATTGCTAAATCTATGATCACTGCTTAGTCTAACGAAGTCGTCACTAAATACAAGTTATTGGAAACAATATTGGTCGTACAACCACTGACATAACAATGGACAGAAATTTTGTCGATAAAATGAACAGTGAAGAGCTCTGATTATCATAAAACTAGTTGGTTAATAGGCCATAACGAAGGATACTTTATCTTTTAGTGACGAGATTTAAAACATATGAAGGTTCAAATGCAAATTAACCATAGAAAAATCCAGAACTGGAACCACACCAACTCAATATATAATTGAATAATACACGTATAGATACTTTTCATGTCAGGATATTCCTTCGAATAGTTCGACAATCCCTCTGACCGAAAACATATTCAGGGTAAACATTACAATAGTTTTTCTGTTCATTACGTAGACTAAATAAAGGGAAACTTTATTCTGAAATAAATAATTTGAAAACTGTTCGCTCACCTGAGCGTGTTTGAATACGTGCATCATTACGAAAGTCATAATGATAGCAACGATATAGGCTGTGTATCCAGAGTAGAAGTAAGCGTAGCTATTCTTGCGTCCAAGTCTGTGAAAGAGTAGAGAATTAATGATTGCGCTTAATTAATGAAGAGTCCAAATGAAGAATAATTTTAAAAGGAAAATAAGTCCATGAGTTAAAAAAAATCCCTAAACTACAGAAAGACGGGTGTCTATAATAATTTCAGAACTGACATTGTGGTATTACTGTGGGATGATACCCAATCCATGCAATCCGCAATTAATGTCCTAATACCCCATTGGGAGTAACAGGCGTAAGTAAGTACGGTATGGTATGTGTTCTGCACCTTCGAAAAGCGGAGTACTTTCATAAGTCTGGCAGGACCCTGGATCTGCAATCACCCTGAGTAGTGAGCAGATATAATTAGTCGAGCAGTTAGTGTATCTAGGTAGCTGCATAAGTGCTGGTGTGAGTGATGAGATCAATTCACGTATAGTGAAAACCAGAGTGATTTATGCCAATCTGGGCCATCTTTGGCGCCTCCGTAATGTTAGTTTATCTGTAAAAGGTCGGATCTACAACGCGTCAGTGAGAGCAGTTTTGCTCTATGCTTGTGAGACCTGGCCTCTTCAAGTTGAGGATGTTAAACGACTTTGCGTGTTTGATCATCGTTGTCTCCGAAGGATTGCTGACATTCAGTGGCAGAGACTCGGCATTATGGAACTGGTGTTTTTACTCTAGTTAGTGGGGTGTGAAGAGAAGAGAATAGTTGTTTCTTTCACATTATTGAAGTCGTAGTAGCGAGATTACTAGCACGGTACATGAACGTATCATATTCCCAATGAGGTATTGTACAGTTGAACTTTAACAACTAGGTTGAATTCGCAAATAACAACGATGTCACCGATGCTTTTACTTTACAAATATTATATTATTTAGCAAAAGCTATCAGTATTTATAATGATTATAAGGATGTGTACACGTTCTCGTTAATTAATAAAGACCACATACAACAACAGGTGCGTAGCTTGTACCCATGATATGTAAGCTCAATGGCAACTAACTGACTACTGTTACACTGAAAAACATTTATGTCACACTCAAGTTATAAAAGTATTTCTCTCAGTAATAGCATTATACTGTCACTACATATCACTTCCTTTTTTTCAAAATACCACATACATTATGACTTAAGAGTGCAGAAATACGTTGATTATAAAGTATGAAAACTGGTTGCTTCCGATGTCTTCACAGTCATTTTCAGGTTATCTGTTTATTAATCAAAGGTAATCTTAATATAAAGGAATAAAACCGATGATCATTTCGCAGTGTGTATATGTGCTTCTTCATCTAGTAGAGCAAACATGAGATAAGAGCAGTTCTTGCCTGAAATATACCGAGTCTACTCTTTCTAAACCTGCTTTTTATGGTTCTTAAAGTCTGAGCAATATGGCACAACATATTATTTTGGGAACTACTGACAGAGGGTGTATAAACATTTTACGTAAGCAGGTATAATCAACTTAAAGATGGTCTTATTTTGCCGTTGAAAAAATATCGCAAGTAATCACATGCACAAAGGTAATACTAATTAAGAAGAATGATTCAAGAAAAAAACAACGAGCAATATTATTAAAGGTCCATAATCCCCGAAGACACCTAGTATAACAAACGGTTCATCTATGTTTGTAGAACAGTAATGAGTAATTTAATCGTGCTGTCATTATACTTGCACTATTATTAACTAATAAAGCTTTATGAACAAAGGAATATATAAAACACAACGCTAAATTGCATTTAATTTGCACAGCCATATTTTGATTCTTATATGATTGAAAAGATAGACAGGAAGTTTCGCAACTAACTTACTTTGTGTCGAACCTAAGAAGCATAGCAATAAATATTCCTGGAACAACTATATCACCAAGACCAAGTAAGGCTAATTGCTTGCCGAATAATCCATGTGAAAGAAAATCACGCGGAAAAGTAACTAAAAAGATAAGGTAACAACATTGATCATCTTATCACAATGTTTAAATAAATGAAAATAGACTATAAATAATTAGTGATTTAGCTTACCTGAAGTTAGCAAAATAACCATTTTAATATTACATAAATGCTTGCATGCAAGGCAATCCTAACTCCCAGGAAGGAGGAACGCTTTATATGTTTGTACTTAATCTACTACTATTTTTATTAGTCAGTGGATAACTACGAATAGATGGGCTACTCCAGATGTATTTATTAAGCCCTTACACATATCATCGTCACATTATTTCCAAAGTAATTTCTTACGGTTAAGCTGCGATAACGATGCAACCAGGTGCAAGCAAACATAGTTACATAAAAAGTGGAGGGTTGAGATCAAGATGATTAGTTTGGGGAGTCAAGGATTCGGCACACCAGCAATAGGTCTTCAGATAAGAGTGTGTGGTTGAATCACTTCTAGTATTCGAAGTTTGATACCATGATGCAGTAGACAGTAACTCCGTACGTGTAACAACCCAATCGGTACAGACAGTGCAGGTTCACAATATTATTGCTTATTCGTTAAATTTACTACAATTATGTTATAAGATGAAGATACCTACGAATCCATCAGCCACTAGGTATTGCAACTTGAACTGATGTACGTACGTACGAAGTTCTACGTTTTAACTGACTGAACTGACTGAGGTCAACGCTCGACTACAGATTGCGTGAGAGAAAACTAAAGCAACTTTCAGATCCAGTAGAATATTTTATCGTCAACCAACTCATTGGGCTTGATATAATAGTTAAACATTTAACCATCTCTTTGTTTTTAAAACAGTTAAAATGGTTCAGTTCTAATGCATTCTTACTTCCGAAAGACAGGAAACACATAGACATCCCTAGTTTTCTCCGTAGAAAACCAATATTATAAACTCAGCGTCCACTCAAGTTAATTAAATTTCTGGGTAAGAGACTTAATTCATTAAAATCAGAGATATGCAGTGTCTGATCCAAACCATCTCTGTTGACCGCCGGTTTGATATGGATCATAAAACGCAAGACAACTTACTAACCGGTTTAACTAACTCACCTTCTGCGATCAAAAGTATTAGTCGTGGCACACTTGGTATTTGACAAATGCAAAGCATAAAATCTTTAACTAGTGTCTGACTAATTAGAGACTTTTTATGATATTCTGTTTATGTTTACTGTATTAGCCGACTATGGGGTCCTCGGATAAGGAAAGTTGGTTACTGTATAATAGCAGACATCATTTATAGGTACAAGCCTGATTGTCCGCTTAACACTTATCATTCGTCAAAGGTCTCATCTCAGTTGTTTTAACCGTCTAAACAGCTATTGTAATTTTCCGATTCATTTACTGTTGCATCGTACTCTCAGAAAGACTTGAAATAAGCCACTCAATTTTTAACGAGAATACGTAAAACAATGTTTGTTTTGGTTTATTTTTACACATAATAGGCGTGGGTCATTAATTCTGTGGTCAAGAATGAACAGAGATGCCACACTTGTTTGTCTGTTGACGCTAATCCAAAAAATATTCTTGAAGCATACTGTATATGGCGATTTGCTGCTAGAGGTGCTGTCCTCAGTGAAGCGCTAACACAAATTACAATTAGATCTGTTGTTTCGATTACTAACTGTAAGTTCCCTCGCTTATGATACGGTAATGTCCATGACAAACTATTATACATGCATCTCATGGTACCGTTAATTGATGACCCCCAAGTGCCCTGATACGGCCGAGGATAGGGAGAGTAATCTCTCCCTCTCGAGGTGCTCTCACATGGTCACGCGCATGCGAAAACTCCCAGAAAAGTCCTACCCACTGTCTTTTCGCGGTGGGGGTGTTGTTTACAAAATTGAGGAGACGAAAAGCGAATGTCTGGCACTTTAACCGGGTTGAGTCAGTCAGTCAGTTACAACGTAGAACTTCGTACGTACGTAAATCAGTTCGAGTTGCCATACCACATTAGCACAGAGATGCAGTTGTCGATTCAAATCCCATAGTGGAAGAAGTAGTAAGAGTATAAGCAATATGTGAAAGATCAGAGTTTGAAGATGTTATTGAATGAGTATAATAGAGTGAAATAAATTTGGAAAGAGAAAAAAGAAGAATTAAGAAGATTAGAATTTGGGAGAACACAAAGAACCTAATGCTACACCATGAAACATTGCACGTCGGGGCAGTCGGTGGTTTGGCATACGTAACACGTGTCCCAGCCATCTCAACTGATGAAGTTTCAGTACTTCATCAATCGATTTCCCATCCTTACCTAGTACCCGTTTCTTAACATCTGCATTACTTACCCGGTGGTCCCAGGATATACGAGCAATGCGTCGAAGACACCTATGATCGAATACTAGTAGCCTACGAATATCCTCTACTCTTATCGGCCATGTTTCACTGCCATAAAGTAGGACGGAACGGACTGCTGTACAGTAAACCCGTCCTTCTGTTGCTAGACGGATATCTCGCCTACGCCATAAATGACGCAAGTTAGCGAAAGCTAGACGAGCCTTCTGTATCCGTGCTGAGATTTCGTCACACACCAGACCACAAGGGCTGATGAGACTCCCAAGATAAGTGAGGCTGTCAACACGCTCAACTACTTCACTCCCTATCATTAGTTCAGGTGTCGATGCAACCCAATCCTGAAGTAACATTTTGCACTTCGAGGGAGAGAATCGCATCCCGAACATGCCTGCATAGTTGCTTATGGTGGTCAGAAGACTCTGCATTTTGTCAGCGTCTTCACCAAACAAAACTATGTCGTCGGTGTATTCTAAGTCAACAAGTGAATCTCCCGGTAAAAGTTCAACTCCAGGAGATTTAGATGATGAAAATGATATCTCTAAAAGCATGCCAACGACAAAGTTAAACAAGAATGGGGAGAGTGGACAGCCCTGACGAACACCACTTGAGGTAACCACTTCTGATGACAGTTCGCCATAGGCTCTAACTCGACCAGTTGTGTTCGAGTAGAGAGCCTTTATGAGGTTAATGTACTTCTTTGGTACTCCTTTCACTGACAAACACTGCCATAGAACCTCACAATCAACGGGGTCAAATGCCGCCTTAGGGTCAATAAATACTACTATTGTGGGACGTCTGAATGTATGTCTATGTTCCAGGACCTGACGTAGAGTGAATATCTGGTCTATGCAACCACGTCCAGGTCGAAAACCAGCCTGGTTTTCTCTAGTCTGCTTTTCACGAGCTTTGGTTAGGCGCCTAAGTATTATTGAAGCTAATATTTTAGACACTATATTAGTCAAACTGATTCCTCTGTGATTATCACAGGAGGACTTTTGTCGTTTCTTATAGACTGGCACAATAAGTGATTGGGACCAGTTAGATGTAATTACGTCCAGATCCCAGATTCTACCTAAGACCTCAGTCAATCTCACTGCTAGTACTGGAACATCATCTTTAAAAATCTCAGGAGTAAACCTGTCAGGGCGTGCTGCTCTCCCTCGCTCCAGATTTCCTATAGCTTTTTCAACTTCGTAGAAAGTTGAAGGACTTACATCAATTTGCCATTCAGGACGAATGGGGATCGTGGGTAACTCAAGTGTGGCTGAAGGCCAGTTGAACTGATCCATAAAGTGTTCTGCCCATCGATCCAATCTCCTGGATTGAGAATGAATGATATGCCCATCTTTGTCTGAGATAGTTTCGCTAATAGTTGGGTTCCTAATACCCGTTTCTTTAATGAGTCTGAATAGCTGTCTGCTGTTACCTATTGCCACTGCCTTTTCCATCTCTCTTGCTTTCGCTACCCACCACTGTTCACGATCATCGCGCAGGCTTCTTATTAGCCTGTGCTTAAGCTGACTCCGCTCTTCGTTATGTTCAGAGCCAGGTGGGATGAGTTTTAGAGCATCTATCAGTGTGGTAGACGCTGCCGAGATCCCTTGTTTCTCCGTAACCTAATGGTTTACCTTACTAGCGGATATTACTGCTGTTTCCACAGCTTTACGGATGTCATTCCATGCTGCCTCGGGGTGGGCACAACTTACATGGCTGCTTAACTGTTTTTCTAGTTGTTCCTGAAATATATTCTTAGCTTGCTTATCATTAAGTAGAACCCTTAGAGGCTTCCCTTCAGTGTCTTTCCTACGTTCAGTAAGACGCAGACAGATACGTGCTCGCATTAGAGCATGATCTGAATGTAAACATGTGCTCCAGAATGAGTGACAGTCTTCTATCGAGCCCCTCCATCGGTGGCTGATAGCGATGTGATCTAATTGGGTCCAACGTTGGGACGAATTCGGGGGTCGCCCATGTCAAAAGATGTTTTTCCTTATGCTTAAAGTTAGTATTTGCAAGAAATAAGCGGTTATCTGAGCATATCTGCAACAGACGGTCGCCATTATCTGTTCTTTTAGCCACGACACCATAAGATCCACCCAGGTGTCTTTCACTTAATTTACCTACATGAGCAATAAAGTCACCAGTCACTATTACTACATCAGAACGCCTAGCTTTTCGGAGAAGGTCAGAAAGTTTCCTGTAAAAATCATCTTTTATATCGTCTGAGCTGCAGTCAGTGGGAGAGTAGGCAGAGACGACGAAGAGGCAATGACGAGTTTCCCTATCTTTCCGAGTCCTTACTGATCCGTTTAGTCGGACAGCGCATAGACGACTGTCCACTGGGAGCTAGTCTAAAAGAGCTAGTTCTGCCCTAGGACTTAATGCTATACCTACGCCAGCGAGGCCACGGGAAGCAGCATCAGGGCTTCCAGATGCACGAAGCGTGTATCGAGATGGTTCTTTATTTTGATATGGTGAGGTCAAATGAATGACGCCACTCTGATCCTGTATGCGCGTTTCGGAGACGCAGCACACATCGATGGTATAAGATTCTGAAGTCCTAGCTAAGGAGGCCTGTTGTCCTATTTGGCACAATGTTCGGACATTAAAAGTTCCTACATGTAGTTTAGAGCGTGGTTGCCCCCAAACGCCCTGGTACGGTCGAGAGTGAGGAGAGTCCGCTCTCCCTCTCCAAATGCTCTCACATGGCCACGCGAATATATAGTCTCTGCCACAAAGGTCCTACTCACTGCCTTCTCATGGCACAACTGTTGTTTACGAAATTGAGAGGACGAAAAGCGAATGTCCGGCGCTTTAACCGGGTTGGTGGACAAGGCGAGTCCACCTAGGGGAGTTGGAAAACCCTGATTTCAAACCAATGGTGTACATGGGCTCCAGTATCCTGAAGGAACAAATGGCGTACGAATCAATCGTTGATCACTGGCTACCATGGGACTGCATCTCCTCACGATGCTCCATTGCCTTTTGGAAAAGACCTTTAGATCAAAGGCTCGTGGTGTGGCCCCCTAAGAAAACCGCCTGCTTCAGTCTGGGCACCTGGGCAGTATCACAGCCCTCACACAAATCGAATGAGATTTGTGAGGCGCATATTTATCTGGTGCTTCCTTGTACCAATATTTATGTGTTTAAATAAATAAATAAATAATAAATTAGATCTGTAGGTCAAAGGCTCGGGAAGTGGCTCCCTAAGAAAACCACCTGCTTCGGTCTGGGCACTCGGGCAGTATCACAGCCCACACACAAATCAAGTGATTTGTGTGACACACATATATTCGGTGCCCCTTTGCACCAATGTGTTCAAATAAATAATTAATTAGTCGGTAACGGGAAGATTACCAACAATTACTATTGAATGCTTGTCGACGTACAAGCATATACTAAGGTAATTCCAGTAAGCTTATTGATAGTCATCTGCGGAAAACTGTACACAGACGACTATTGCACTTTTCAAGTGATTTGGTGTATCAACAAAAGTGATCACATGGAAAACTAGTAAACCTGCTATGGCTACCTAAAAAAATTTCAGGTGTAATTACTTTGTTTAATTAACACAACATTAAAGAGTAAATAAAACGATTCCAACAATGTGATTACCTTCATTAAATGAACCAGTCTAGTCTTTATGGCAAGTTAACGAAGCGACTACATTATACTCAGGATTGGTTAGTGATATAACAAAGTGGTATCAAGTAAAACGTTGTAATAAACCTCAAGAAATACAGTAGATCTATGCATGTGACGAAAGATATAAGATTACTCACCTTTGATTGGAATATCTAGGTTTTTTGCGACAGCCATCATGACACCAGTTCCAAACACCTGGACTTAAAGGACAGTAAAAAATCTAACTTACCCAAAATATATCGTATACGAACAGTCCGCAAAGAAGTAATATGCCATTTACGAATTTATTTAACCTTATGAATTCGATGGCCAAAATAGCAACTGTCACTGCAATAAAATTGTTCGCGATCCAATGCTACCTAATAAAGCTATTAATTTTGACTTACTCCTGAAAAGTAATACCAAGTGCCAAGCAAAACACCGATGCCAGTGCCTATGAAATCCTTGGACTCAACTGAGAAATCATAGTTGTCTATCAAGTGAGATGTAGACAATCATGATTACCTACCCAATAAGTTCCATTGACATTCGGAACCATCTGAGTTCTCTAAACTTCTTGAAAACTCAAACTTGAACCGCGTATTTTTTACGCAACTCGGCATATACGGGCGAAAGATGGGTCTAAACATACAGATGGCAGAATATGTACTTACGACAAGAAACGGGATATTGCACAGGCACCCACAAAAGAAAAATATACCTTCATAACACAGTTGATGTACTGAATAGGAACGAACTTCAACATAGTAGAACTACATACACATACAAACCTTAAATACTATGTAAATCCCGAAAAGTGCAGCACTGGCAAGAAATGGAAACAGTGCTGCATCTTTACTTGATACAACTTCTACCTCTTCAGTTGACTTCTTACTAGTTAATGAGCGGAAAGAACCTATATAAATAGGTACTATGGCCAAGAGAAACAGTGCTGAGTTGGTAATTATGGAATCTATATTGAACTCCAGGTTTGTAATGGTTCCGTTCGTATCGCTCACATTTCCGATATCGCTTACGTTCATGTTCTCAAACTGTACGCGTAGAAATTCAAACACGGTGTTGAATACGTAGATGTTACGTAACGTATGACGCAGAATAAGAAGTATATTGGTCAATTTATTGTCGTAAAACTTTGTTATTCAGGGTTGATTGTTGTAAAAAATCAGACTGAAAGTTTGGTATTGGCCAGAAAATGGAGTTCGTTAATAGATTTTTTTCTGTCGCTGCACAATTTTGTCTCAGTCTTCAGTAGTGAGTATAGGTCAGTCAACCTATATTAATCCTTTTGATTTGTAGTACTGTGAATATCTAAATACTCTTTGAGTGTATAAACAGAAGGTGCTGATATTACGTGTTTTAGTAGAGACTTCAATTAATTCACTCATCTATGAGAGTAACGGAACTCCAGATGTAAGCGATTTGATCACGGTTACGGCCTTTCTCAGAGTGTCTCATTAGGAGACCAAACTGTAGTGTCAGTGAAATGTCACTGAACCCTAGCCAAGTCATTCGGCAGTTGGGTCGCTGAATATCGAACAGATCATCTATCCCTGTCAAGGTCAAGAATAGTCATCGCTCATCAATTAATAATACGCCATGAACTGGCCCTTGCGGCAGTGGTTGTACCTTAACCAATATATTCTTGTAACAACGTCCTTCGTGTTGTACAGTCTCCATAGCATCCATGGTCCCTTGTTACGTCGACGGGGCCAATCCACGTAAGGTGCTGATCGCGAGGTGTGACTTCGAAGTTAGCTTGTTCGTCACACCATTCTCGTCTAACTCGAGTAGGCCTCCAATCGTTCGACATAGAACATCAACGCTGATGGTCTACAAAACCCTGACGAGAGAAAACAAATAACAAATACTACTATCATAATCTCAGTTCACTGTGCAGCAATCCAGTATAAAATCACCTCTTAATCCGTGGTAAGCTGATGGAAATAGGTTGAAGTATCTTAGTCTGTTTTCATAAGGCACGTTAGTGACAACTTTAACTATTTTGGCTTCCTGCCGTTGATTTAGTTCTAACAGGGACTAACAACTCGAAGTTCATTTGCCAAGTGATGCCCCACAAGCCTCGGTTACTTACTTACCACGTAGGCCACCCACCAGCATTCTCCACCAAAATAGCTGACTGAATCGTTGGGTTGACAAACTGACTAATAATCATCAATAAACAGTATTGTTTTCTATCGGCTATCTTTATCTATTATCGACGATTTCCGCATGTTTCTCTTTCAGATGCGCATTTAGTAAATGTCTTAAAACCTTATCAGTCTAATAAGAGGTTTGGGAACACTGTAGTGCTATTAGTTCATAACCACACGATCTCTGAGGTCGAGTCTATAATTACTGAAAAGACTTACTTTAAACATGTAACACTTAGAGAGGGCAAAAGATGGTGACCGTGGAAACAACTGATCGGTTTGGGATGGCTCAGCCTTGCAAGGATGGTCTTTATGTGCAACTCATACCTTTCCCTATTAAGTAAATTACATTATCCGCAGACGGAATGTGTTCTTCGGAAGTACTAAACATCATATTGCTGATTGTCACGTAGGACGAGTCAATATAATGTTGGTGTTACTTCCACGTAAGATCTTGGAGATTAGGTAGTCACATAATGACCAGTCTTCAGCCTTAGGATTAGGTTTATTATCATAGTAGCCAGGACAAATGTACTAATACTGAACAAGACCATAGTTCTACGGTCACACTACCGCTTATCTTGACCTGTCCTGAAGTGATAGCCATAATGTCTCCTTCAAGAAACACTATAGAATACGTTCAGGGTGTCATGCCGCCTCGATCCATTGTTCCCTAATTGATCTACATTGATGTTATCAAAGAGTATATGGGTTTATTTAGGTCTTTTCATTTATTGTGTGTTTAGCTTCAAGGGTCGTATGGTTAAGAACAAATGTCACCATGGTACGATTCTTTGTGTTTGGGTGAAACCGCTCTATTCTCTCTTGTGTTGTGGCATAAATATGACAATCAGACTCTTAAATTATTTTACTAACTTCACTACCTAAAATGGGTATGGGTGCGAATCTTTACATTAACAGTAGCTGCCGCACCTGTACACTGTTTAGAATAACACGTGATAGGATAATCAATATTTTCCACGCATTTTGCCGTTACCAAACTATTTATATAGACATTTTATTTCTGATGCCCAGCTAATTGATGCCACAGCAGATGAACTTGAACGTATCTTCCTGCTTCCTTTTATTTACATGACTGTCTGGGGAAATTTTTTGTGTCACTTGTTATATTGGATTATCTTGACGACGATCTTAACCATTATAGGTCCACCCAAGTGATCAAATTCTATGGACAACATGGAATGTCTTCTCAGACGGGAACGAGAAACACCTTTGACCTAATACATACCAGGGGCATCTTCCTAATCAACAACCGTTTGGAGATAACTTCCGAAAAACATTCCAGTTCTTTTAAAACAAACGGTAGTAGTTGGTTCCCTGTTTCTCCACATGAGTGTTTTCAGAAAGCGGATCGGCTTAACTGTGCATAAAAAGTGAATAACGTTGATTGTAATGCTGTAACTGGACTATATACTTGCTGAGAGTTTTTCTTCTACTAGGTCGCTCCATGAAGTTTTCATAAGTTTTCTCATAATCGTCAGCTTTCAGAAGTCTCTGAGAAAATAACCAGATTACTTTAAACCCCAGCCCGACAAATTTGGGAACTTTTCTCCCTTAGTAAATGCACACGTACGTCGTAGAAATATTTGACCTAACAGAGTGTAGGGTCTTATTAAAAAGGAATTTGATGTTGTTGTAAGATCCAAACCTAACTTGGATTGTAGGCGTCCAGTCAAGCGTAGGAAAACTACACAGTCTAAAATTGCTACTGACAGTTTCAGCGAGACGAGCTACTCCGTTCATCCGGAAGCAGACAAGCTTTTACCAGTTGTCTCCATTCCAGACGTGTTGAAGACTCTGTTGGTAAACAGTGATGATAATCACAACTTCAACCATGCGAATGGTATTAAAAGACTGCAAGTTGTCATGATCATTCTCAATCCCCTCAAGTATCTCATCAACCCTAACCTCACATGGACTCCAGATCAAATGAATGACATATATGACTTCCTAGATTGTGTTGCATCAGAGGTATTTGAAAGAATAAGGCGATCTAGAAACGCAATTGTGTTTAATATACCGGACTCAAATGCCCTTAAAAATATTAAAATTAGTCTGCTTAGAGCCAGCAATATGACACACGTACCATGTGTATGCACAAGAATAAAAAGATGCCACCCTGATGTGCACTCACCGATCTTGTTCAAATTCAACTCATCTGTAGACGCTAGTTAGTTTTTAAATTCCTCCAATTCATTGAAACAGAAACAGATTTTCAAGGATATTAAGATTCTACCAGATAGAACACTATGCCAACGAAAAGCGGGTCGAGATAACTACAGACTACCAGCATCAAACACCCAAGCATATCATAATCCTAAAGGTCATAAAATTAAGTCCGCTCCTAAGCAGACATCTAACTTTAAGAATATGCAACCACCGAAAAAGTCTCCTGAATCTCCAAAAGTTCAAAACCCAAAAGAAAGTAGTCCCAATGTAGGTGATGCCCATCCTTTTAAGAATGTTGACTTAGATTCAACCCCAAGTAGTTGTACTGATTACGAATGTGATAACACAGTCCAAATCGCTGTTAGTGCAACAACCAGTTACAGTGACTGTGCAACGGATAACGGGAAAACTGGTCATAAAAATTATCTGCCTGACCACATGCTTAATGTCGATATACTCGAACCTTGCAAACCATCTCAAGCATTTTTAACAACACACGACCCTCTTCAAATTACGAAGGAGCCAAAATCAACCACAAACCTTGGAAATAAGCGTTTAGAACATGTTCTTTATACGTCAGGTATAAATAGCAATCTAAATTCTAAACGGCCACTTGGTCGCACACACAGACCTGATAGCCTTCTTGGTCCGGCTCCAAATATGTATACTATTCCTTTACCAAATGTTATATCCAATAACAATGAGAAGACTTTTTTGTCGGCTTTTCTGCCGGCAACAGTAAATATACTTCAAATGATGACAAAGTTGTTGAATCTATTTCCGATTGCAACACAACTCTCACCTTAGCTAATCCTACGAGTATTCATGAAAATACCAATTGTGATTTATACTCTGACCTGCTTCACCATGGTGATTCTCAATTTCTTATTCTTTCGTTCAATGCCCGCTCTCTGCCCAATAAAATTACTCACCTCAAAACCCTTTTATTCCTTGTAAATCCAACTATTGTACTTATTACGGAAACGTGGTGCAATTCATCTATATCCGATCACTCCCTGCATATAGATAACTATGTTTTCTTTAGGACCCATAGATGTAATGGATTAGGGGGTGGTACACTTATCTATGTCCGTTCGGATATTCAGGTCTGCAAATTTGAGGATAAATCCCTTCATGCTATAGACGACTCCACCTGGGCTACTGTAAACTGTGGATCTCAGAATTATCTACTGGTGGGATGCATATATAGACCACCCCATGCAGACTCTAGGTTTGACAGATTACTAACAAACATATTTTCCATTGCTTCACACCAACCGCATACTTTTAAAATCATCGGAGGTTACTTTGATCTGCCAAACATTACATGGGATTCGACTCCGGTACCAGGTCGACATAACAAGTTAGTTGAAACACTAGAACTATATGGATGGGTCCAACAGGTCCGACAACCGACTAGAAAGAATAATATACCTGATTTACTATTTACAATCAACATAGATTCTATCTCAGTGGATATCAGTAATGGGTTTTTTAAGAGTGATCACAGAATAGTATTGTGTGTCATTCATTCTTTCGACACCATACAATTGAATTCTAAAGCTGCAATGATGTACAAGAGTAGACATTTTGATCAACAAACATGGAAACGGACTGAAAGTCTTATTCGTTGTTTACCATGGGAAACTTATTTTACCACAAATAATATTGACATTACGATCTCTGATCTATACCACAACTTGATACACTGCCTCAACTGCACTGCTCCATTTATTAGTCATGTGGCTTATACCGCCAATAGGGGCCAGAATAATTTTAAAACTTTTAAAAGAAAGCTGAGGAAATTAAAACACCGTTACCACAAGCATAATGACTTGTATGCACTACAGAGTATACTTAAGTTAATTGACAAAAGTGCTTCATCTAAACGCAAGTATTTTATGAATATAGAAAATCAAGCCCTAGGTAATAAAAACCCAGAATTATCAATACT